AAAGTAACGTTACATTATTGGTTAATATTATATATTAACTAGCCTGGATAGGTTTTGTATTGTCAGAGTAATGTTAAATTGTAGGTTAACTAGCCTTGATAGGATTTATATTGTCAAAGTAACGTTACATTATTGGTTAATATGATATATTAACTAGCCTGGATAGGTTTGTATTGTCAGAGTAATGTTAAGTTGTAGGTTAATCAACCTGACTAGTTAACTAGCTTGTAGAAATTTTCCATTGTTTCAGTAACATTATAAAATAGGTTAACTAGCCTAGATAAGTTTGGTTATATAACAAGTTAACTAGCCTGGAAAGGTTTTATGTTATTTGAGTATTGTTAGATATCTAGGTAACCAGCCTGGATAGGTTTTATATTATTTGACTGTTGTTAGGTAACAAGTTAACTAGCCTGGATATGTTTAATATTAGTAGAGCATTATTAGATAACATATTAGCCTGGATAGGTTTGTTTGTTTGTTTGTTTTTTTGGTATTTTTTGATAGTTTGTATGATAATAATTTAAACAAATCTTTCTTTACTGCTTCTGCGACTGTGGGTTTCCAGTAAGAACACTATAACATCTAGACCACGCAGTTTATGTTCCGCACGCCACTGCCGACGAGGCTTTTCTACAATACTAGAGGTCATTATTATCCATCTCATTGTGATGTAATTTCACATAAACTACTGATGGATATGTAACGTTTCGCATGTATAAGGTTCTTTTGTTAGCTTAGTGTTACGAATTAAGTCTGTAGTGTTAATGGTATATAAAAGGCTTTTTGAGCTGACTAATTTTGATAATATATTTTACTCCCTGGACAAAAGCTGAAGAATAATATTTTATTTAATATTTCCATGTAGAGAACTTGCTATTAACCCATCCCGTACCTTACCAACGAATATCTTTCACGAACTATACGGATTGAAGACCCTGTAAGTATTACAGGTGTTTTTTTTTTGTTGTTGTTGTTAACCCTAGTTTTTAAACTAAAGTGTTATTATAATTATGAAACTCTCCTTTTAGCAAAGAGAATTGAGTTTAGTCGAATTATTTCAAGATCAACGTTTTGTCCGGTCTTGCTTACCGTTATATTGTATCGCAACAAATTAACAAAACTTGTGTTATTTCATCGATCTTTTTACAACAGCTTTTACTTTCATTTAGTCCTCGGACAATTAATGAACTCAAGAATAGTATCCACTGGGAGATTTGAAGCAACCCCTACAAACATTTGTGAATCTCCCTAGTCTTAAATGACCAAATGCAGAGAAAGAGATTCTAATCACCAATTCATAGATGGATGCCTTCATACACATGGCCTCAAGGTCTCCCACGTAGTATGGAACACCAATTCATAGATGGATGCCTTCATACACATGGCCTCAAGGTCTCCCACGTAGTATGGAACACCAATTCATAGATGGATGCCTTCATACACATAACCTCAAGGTCTCCCACGTAGTATGGAACACCAATTCATAGATGGATGCCTTCATACACATGGCCTCAAGGTCTCACACGTAGTATGGAATATCCACCTTTATTCTTGCTATGGGAAACTTCCTCACTGTCCCATCAATCAGCACACACAGACGTACTTTGCCCGTCATCTGATCATCAGAAACAAGACTGGTTCACACTGCTGCCCCCCCCCCAGTGGCACAGCGGTAAGTCTGCGGACTTACAACGCTAAAATCCTGGTTTAGATACCCGTGGTGGGCAGAGCACAGATAGCCCATTGTGTAGCTTTGTGCTTAACTTCAAACAAACAAACACACTGCTGCACCCAGTGTCTCGTAGTACCTTCACTGTCTTGTCCAAGCGATCAAATTCTGATATGGCAGTCCGAATGAAGGCTGTTATGGGTGAACGTGGAGCCTACGTTGAACATGTGGTGTTAAAAGGGGGTATGGGAACATAAACTTTCATCATTAGTCTTTAAATAAATGCATTCATCATTCTGTAATCGCCAGATTGTGTACTTTTTGGGACACCATATAAGGTAATAAGGTAAATATGTTTAGGTCTTGAAAATGTTGTTGTGCAGAGTAACGTAACTTTTAACGAGTAAATTACTTGGACAGGCTATTTCTGGATAGTTATTACTCTTCAGTGATCAAATAAACAAGAAAGGGGTTAAAGAAATCCTTTGCTGACTGCAAGTTGAAAGTAACGTTGACGTCACAACTTCCCAATGGCGTGATAGTGCCTTCTAAATAGTGTATACAAGTTCGCCATATAGGGGACTGAGTGTCACGCTTATAATGCACCCACAGCTTAAGGTGTGAGGAATATTTTGTAGTACACACGGATTCGAACCCAGCTTACAAGCTCCGAAGTCCAAACCTCTACCACAATGCCAACCTGTGCCCCATATATATATATAAATCCCAGTAATTTGGCCATCACACACACACAGTTTTAACTAGTTTTCTCAAGCAAGTTTCTCATGAATCCAATTTATTACCAAAATGTCAATCCAACTGTCAAATGTAACTCCCAGTAATCTGGCCATCATGTAGTTTTTGTTAGTGGTCACCATCTTTAACATTCTGAATATCAAATCTTGTGTTCTATTCCAACAATTGGTGAAACATTGAAAAAATAATTATATTTTCTTCTTACAGAAATTTAACAGAAGTAGAAATTGCAAACATTGATATCACACATTTTGAGAACCTCAAGAACTTAGAATTTTTGTAAGTATTAATTTTTGTTGTTGTTGAATATGGATGTTTGAAAAGAGTACGCTTAAACAGTATTTGTTTTGTAACATGATTAACATGGCTGTCCAGTTTGGACTTTGTTCTTTCTTTTTTATAACATTTTGCATGATTTTGTGATTTTTCATTCTGGACTTTATTTTAATATAAGGTTCTTAAAACTTTGTTTCACTAAAAACCATATTCTAATTAAATATTGAATGAATCTCTATCATCACCTTTTATTTTTTCATTTTGGCAGAAAAATCATATTCAAAATTATAACTTTTGAGAGAAGCCAATCTTCATCAAAGTTTCCTAAGCTTATTAAGTAGAACCTTGCATGCAGGCCTTTGTATTAAGTACTCTGTGTTTCTACATAAGCAAACCTACTATATTTATATATATATAGTTTTCTAGGCACTGGCTATTGTATATACGTGAACAGTACGTCTAAATTTTTTTCCTCTGTATCGAAAAACAATAAGGAATCTTCAATAGCCGCGGTACTTGAAAATCTTTTAGGCAGGATTAGAGTAAATTAATCTATGATACTTTTTTTTTTCCTTTATATTAGCTATATTTTTGTGCGCCAGCAATACCAAGCGTGGGGCGCGCTTATACCCGATCCAATTTTATCACTCATGAGCTTTCCACTAGCCTACCCTCAAATTTAAATTATTTTAGGCAGGGTTAGAGTAAATTAATCTATAAGACCTTGGGCGTGGTCAAATACGTCAATACGTTTAACCTCCTGAGTCCAAAACAGTAATCAGACCTCAAATTGGTCAAGAGATGGCGGAGCTGTGAACTAAAAGTTTGTACTTGCGCAAACAAACAAACTCAGAGCCGTTCTATGATTCACTATACTGCAGTTAAAAAAACAACTTGAAAGAAAAACTTATTTCATAGTGATACACATCAAATCAGATAAACATATTTTAAATTATCTGGAAACTTCAAAGTAATCTGCCCCCCAGTGGCACAGCGGCATGTCTGCGGACTTACAATGCTATAAACCGGGTTTCGATACCCGTGGTGGGCAGAGCACAGATAGCCCATCGTGTAGCTTTGTGCATAAATTCAAACAAACACTCAAAGTAACCTTTAGTTACATGACCTGTTTTTATGAGTGAAATTATAGGTTTATTACACAAATAGACATAGAAAAATACAAAAATTCTGAACTTTAGAAAAAGAGGAAAATAATTGTTCTGTATTTAAGACATGCACTTTGAACACTTTATCTAAGACAATGGACAAGTATTATGAAATTTATTGGGTTAATTTTGTATAGAATACTAAAAACAAGACGAACAGTTTGTAAATTGAAATAACTGATATGTGTCTAATTATTTTGCTTAGGTACTTCAAAAAGTTCCATTACTGTAGTTTTGCGCCACATGTACGAATATGTAGGCCTAACACTGATGGTCTCTCTTCCACTGAACACTTACTAGTGCGGCCGGTTCTGCGCATGTCAGTGTGGGTGGTGGCGCTAGTGACTTGTTCCGGGAACAGCCTGGTGCTGTTTTGGAGAATCGTTATTCGACGTCGGACAGAAGAATACCAGATCACAGCTTTATTCATTAAGAATCTTGCGAGTAAGTCTACTAAACATTACGGTAGCATGAAAACAATAATACGGAATAACAATTGTTTATGTTGAATGTCTTTCAGCAGCATGAAAACAATAATACGGAATAACAATTGTTTATGTTGAATGTCTTTCAGCAGCATGAAAACAATAATACGGAATAAAAATTGTTTATGTTGAATGTCTTTCAGCAGCATGAAAACAATAATACGGAATAAAAATTGTTTATTTTGAATGTCTTTCAGCAGCATGAA